GATAGATAGATAGATAGATAGATAGATAGATAGATAGATAGATAGATAGATAGATAGATAGATGATAGGGAGAAAGAGAGAGTAGAGGTGTAGACGTGTGATTTAATAGATTAAGGATGTAGTTTTGGGCAAGGTTGATCCCTGATTTTTCCCTCCTTTTATTTTCAATTTTGCACTAGTGCAACTGGCAAGATAGCAGTGCTCTTTTTAAAAATGTTTTTTTAAAAAAACTATATGTGTCTTTCTGAGCTTGATGGATCCCCTTTTCTTAATGAAGTCCGTTTGGGAAACAAAAGGAAGTAAATTCAGAATTTCCTCCAAGTTCTCTCTCCTCCCTTTCCTTCCTTTCGTGGCTCCTTCTATTTGCAAACTCAGACTTATCTTTGTTGCTGTTGTTGTTTGTTGTTGTTGCATGCAAAACAAATCAGAATAAAGCAAGCGTAACTCTGTACTTTTTAAAAAGACAAAACAAGGCAAGCTTTCTTCGAGTTTTTTTTCCTCCTGGCCTTGCCTTCGTGTTTATTATCATATTATCATATATGAATGATATTAAGGCAGATATTATGTTTAAAAAGCAGATGAAAGCAAATGGATTTCTCTCTCTTTTCTCTCCTTTGCATCGCACTGAGTTTTTATAACCACTGTCAAATCTGCAAGCAGAAAGAAAGAGCAAGGAGATTTTAAAACACACACACATACACACACACACACACACACACAATTAAATAAGCTTGCTATTTCTCTGGAAGAATAATCATCACGATGCTAATGCTATCCAGGGAGGGAAAGGCAAGGCAAGGCAAGGAGAAACCACACTGGTCCCTTTAGCTGCTACGGTTGCTGTGGCAACAGGACATAACTTGGCAACTGGAGGCGGAGAAAGATACAGGCCTCGGGTGCCATGGCAACCCCATCCGCCATCCCTGCCTCTTGGGCTGTGATAGGCAGGAGGGTGTTTTTGGGGGCATCCTCTCCTGGTTGAAGGAGGAGGCTAGGAAGATTTTGCACATCTGGTAACAGGAGTTGAACGACGACGTGTCCTTCGGAGTTTGGATGGAGGTTTTTGCAAAAAAAAAAAAAAATTGCCACCCTCCAAGCTCAAGGGGGACCCAGGCATTTTCAGGATTGGTAGGGATTAAAGTAAACTTTTTAAAAAAAAGAAAAACCAAAGGGGGCCTTTATATCTGTATTTTATTGAAAGGACTATACTGTCTTGTGTTTTCTTCATGACTATAGAATACTCTGTAGTATGAATAACAGAATGACAGAGCTGGAAAAGGATAGTAGAAGAAGAATAGAATAATAATAATGGAATGGAATAGAAAATAGAATAGAATAGAAAATAGAATAGAATAGAATAGAATAGAATAGAATAGAATAGAATAGAATAGAATAGAATAGAATAGAATAGAATAGAATAGGAGCTGGAAGGGGCCTTGGAGGTCTTCTAGTCCAACTCCCTCCTTAGGCCAGAAGCCTTACACCACTTCAGACAAAGCGTTGTCCAATCTCTGCTTAAAAAGGACATTGCTATTACATTTACCAATTTAAATTTAAATGACTATTCTTTCTTATTCTATTCTATTCTATTATGTTATTATTTTATTTTATTATTATTATTCTATTCTATTATTATTTTATTCTGTTATGTTATTATTATTCGATTTTATTATGTTATTCTATTCTATCCTTTGTTATTCTATTCTATTCTGTTATTATTATTCTATTCTGTTATTCTATTCTATGCTTAGAATAGAATAGGCTGGTTTGGATTCTATTCTATTCTACTCCATTCCATTTTTTTATTCCATTTTATTATTTATTAAATTGATTCACTGCTGTCTCACACTGTCTAACAACTTGGGGCAGCTTATCGCATACTAAAAGCCTAAATGTTAAAATAAATAAATGATTAGCATGAACAATAGTTTTGGGTGGCAGAGATGCCCTCAACTAACCAGCCAGCTGGTGTTGGAAATGTTGAAGAGTGTGGTTCAAAGCCTCCAGAAAGGAACAATTTGGGGTGGTCCTTGTAGTCTTTTGTGTCTATTTTAGCTTCTAAAAATGAAACGGGGGCGGGGGAAAGCAGCTACCACGAAGGCAAGAAAACAAAAAAAGAACAGGACGCAATTGTTCAGGTCCGCTCTCTTCAATAGTTGCTTTTGAGGCCCGTTCCCAATGGATCGTTTGCAACCCCAAAAGCCCCTGACATTCTGGCCTTAAAATTCATTTCTGATTCTTTCAGATGAACCGACCAATTCAGGTGAAACCTGCAGACAGTGAAAGTAGGGGAGGTATGATTTCCTTCTCTGTGTTTTCTTTTTTTGGGGGGGGAGGGGGTTGGGGGGGGGTATGGACAGGCCCAACCCTTTAATTGGGGTTCTGCATTTATCCACAGATTTTAATCTTTGATTTCTGCAGTTCTAAGCTTCGAGATGATTCTGCAAAGTCTGGATTCTTTTCTATTTTATTTTTATTTTATGTTTCACACCCCGAAATTCCCAGCTGAAAGGTTGGCCTGCGGCTCTGCCGAAGGGTCAGAGGGCCAGTCTGATTTTGCAAAAGGGAGTTTGCCCCCCCCCACCCCCGCTTTTTGTTTTTTTAACTTTTTGAGCCACTTCCTGCCTCTTTATGTCTACCAGAAGACAGGAAACTCTTTGTAGGAATGCTGGGAAAACAGCAGACAGACGAAGATGTTCGGAAGATGTTTGAGACTTTCGGGACCATCGATGAATGCACGGTACTCCGAGGTCCAGATGGCACCAGCAAAGGTGAGCTGGCATGGGCGATGCCCGCTGCTCAGGGGCCCCCTCTCCTCTGCCCCTGTTTCCAGGTGGAACCAGGGATGTAAACAGTGGTGGGGTTAAAATAATTTAACAACCGGTTCTCTGCCCTAATGACTGGCTGGGTGGGCAAGTCAGGGGGGTGACAGGCGGCACTCGGCCTCCTGCACCCCCCTGGGAGCAAAAACGGGCCACGGAGGGCCACGCCACACACCCCTGAGCCCTGTTTGGGGCCTAGCAGGCCTCCTTGCACTTACCTGGGAGACAAAATGAGCTGCATGGGGCCAGCCAACAGTTTAACAACCGGGTCAGGTGAACCGGTGTGAACCGGTTGAATCCCACCGCTGGATGTAAAGGAGTGTCTGTCAACCTTGGAATTTGAAGATGGGTGGACTTCAGCCCCCAGAATTCCATGCTTGGTGGCTGGGGATTCTGGGATTGGAAGTCCACCCCTCCTCTTTCAGCCACCAAGGTTGAAAAACACGGGTGGGAAAAGTCGAGGAGGAGGTTCCTTTTCTTTCCGGCTTTGCGAAACCAAAACCTCTCTCCTTTTGGGATTCGTTTCCCTTCCCTCCTGTTCTTCTCCGTCAGGCTGCGCCTTTGTGAAGTTCCAAATGCATGCAGAGGCCCAGGCCGCCATCAGCACGTTGCACGGGAGCCGCACGTTGCCGGTGAGTCCGCCGGCTGCTTTTTCTGAGAGACGCTTCAGCTGGTTTGGAGTTGGAAAACGCTGCGGGCTGCGGAAAGCCAGGGAGGTTTTCCTCCCGGTGGGCTCTGCTGCCCTCCTGTGGCCAGAGCGCTCCATTGCAGCTTCTGAACCCCAAATATAGCCCATCATTGGAGGGAGGGAGGGAGGGAGGGAGGAAGGAAAAAAGGAAAATAAGAAATAGAGGAAAGAAGGAAAGGAAAGAAAGGGAGGGAGGAAAGAAGGAAGGAAGGAAGGAAGGAAGAAGGGAGGGAGGGAGGAAAGAAGGAAAATAAGAAATAGAGGAAAGAAGGAAA